AAGGGAAAAAAGGTCAATAAAGGAGCTAGATCTGGTAAATCAAAGCACAAAAAGGTGAAAATGGGGTCATATGAGTCCGTGGAGGAAAAGAAGGAGGACATGCAAGAAGATCATCAACCTGTTCACCAAATGTCGTCTCAGGTGTACTCAAATCTTAACTTTTCTGAATCTTTCTCTTATAAAAATAAAGTTTTAGGATCAAAAGACCTAAATCTAGTTCTTAACGACAACGAGATCATAAAATCGCCCTTAGAGGATTTTAACCTTAATCTTGAAAACATAGAAAATGAGGAGATAAGTTCATATAACCAGAATCTCTCCCCTGATCTTAAAATACCCCGAGAAGATTATGAGGCTTGGTGTTCCCTATGGAAGTACACCCTTATAGTAAAGTTGTTAGGAAAATATGTGAGCTTTAAATATCTAACTCAAAGACTTAATAATATCTAGTCTAGGCTAAAAATGGGTCGTTAAAAAAAATTCTTGATTTAAATAACGATTTCTTTCTTGTTAAATTTAAGAGAATGGAAGACTACAAATTAGCCCTCTTTGAAGTATCATGGCTGATCCTTGACCGTTACTAGTTGGTTTAGAGGTGGAGACCTCTGTTTAGGACTAAGGACTTTAATATTAGAAAAATTGTAGTGTGAGTTCGTATACTTGACCTACTCTTGGAGTTATATAATAATAAATTCCTTTAGCAAGTTGGAGTTTGCTTGGGGTTAATGCTGAAAGTTGACCCCTATACTTCCTTGCTGTTTAAAAGGATGTTTGTTAGGATATGCATTGAAATTGATATGAGGAAGAAAATAGTTCCAGCTTTTAAAGTCTTAGGGCAAGAATTTAAGATAAAACATAAGGGATTACACCTAATCTATTTTAAATGTGGGAAATATGCGCATATGTAAGAACGTTGTGAAAATATTGATAAAATTAATCCTTAGGTTTTACATAACTTGCAAGGTATTATAAACATAGATTGTTGAACTAGAATCAATTCACCATGTGTTATAATTAATACTAACCATATTAGATTCATAACAAACAAAAGGAAATGGATTACCTTTCTAATCCAGTCAAGTCTTAAATTTTAGGCCGTCCTTCTTCATGTGTCCTTTCTTTTTACAAAAGAAACACTTTGACTCCTTCTTTATGTTCGGCTGAACAAGAATCTTTCCCTTGTGATTAACTTGATTCTTTTTACTCTTTACAGAAGTAGTCAAGTTCACCCTCTCCTCTTCTTCCATTAGTAGCCTTTCTTTTTCTTGAGCACACATGATCAACAATTCGTTAATAGACTACTTATCCTTATGTGTGTTATAAGAGATCTTAAAAGGAGCATACTGATGGGGCAAAGTACACAAAATATAGTGCACCAAGAAAGAATCAAACATGGTAACCTCCAAGGCTTTTAGCTAAGCCATTATATCCCTTATGCGTATGATGTGATCACGTACTCCTCTAATCCCAGTGAGTTTCATGGATGAAAATTGCATTATAAAGGTGTTGGCAAGAGATTTATTAAAAGTAGTAAATTTTTCATCAATGGCCTTTAATAAATCCTTGACTTTATCATGTTGATCAATAAAGTCCCGAATATCAGCAAAAATGTTGGTCTTTATGAAAGTCATGGAAGGACGATTGGACCTCTCCCACTTTTCATAAAGATCAACTGCATCTAGAGTGCTGGTCGCAATAGTAGTCATGGTTCATCCTTCCTAATAGCATAATCGATGTTTATCCAACCTAAACGAAGAAGAACTATTTCCTTCTAGATCTTATGGTTGTCACCCTTTAACTCGGGAATACCACATTTAATATCAAAAATACTCACAGATTGAGAAACTACAAAGTGTAAAATACCACATGTTTATCATCATAATTTGAGGATAAAATAAATGTCATATTTCACCAATGCAAACACGCTTTAATTTATAAATCTAGTGACATAAAACTTGCCTGTAAGCTGAAGTCCTATTCAATAAGACTCATTATATATCTTTATGACAAAATTATCAAATTATGTTCCCTTTCTTAATTCCTATAGGTAGATTAAGAAATATAATTCAATATTTCATCCTAATTAATCATATAAATACAATAAAATTTTTGTGAGCAAATCTCATCACATATAATCAATTATAATTAATATTTTTCCAATATGACTTTAAAGAGTATATATATAATTTTAAGTGCTACTCTCCAATTTATTAAAATTATATTCATCACCAAACACTAATTTTTCTCTAAAAGGTCAAATGTTAGCATTAATATTAAATAAACTAGACATAAGAATTTGCATGAACCAAGTAATATGTACAGCATATGTCTAGAATAACAATATAAATCAATAATATTATGCTAAATAGTTGTAGAGAGAGGATATATAGTTTTCAAAATCACATATTTGTCAAATATAAGAGTTTAGTTAAGTGGCAGTCACGTTAGTCTGCCATTATAATGGTTTTGGGTTTGTTTGCTCGTTATTTTATAGTAATCATGATTCTTATGTGCTAATTATGAATTTATTGTTGATAAAATCATATCATACAAACACAAAATAGTAGAATCAAATACAATATATCCAACATAAGCAATTAATCTTGATAACGTAGAGTTAAAAAAAAAGAAAACATACTTAGTGCCCGTTTGGTGTTAGGAATTAGGTGGGAATTGAACATTGGAATTGAGCTTCAGAATTTTAATTATTATGTTTGGATAACCATTTGAAATTGGGATTATAATTCCATGTACCAATTATATGGAATTCTGTTACGACTAAATTTGGCCCACTTCAATTCCTATCCTGCACTTTAGGAATTTGAATTCCTAATATCATAATTCATAAATACACTTTTAGTATCGTGTCTCTTTATCTCCGTGGTTTATTGTTTTTATGGTTTTTGTTCTTCTTAGGTACTGTCTTCCTTTCCCTTTTCTTTTGTTCTCTTTTTCTCGTTGCATCTTCCTTCCTCTTCTTATGTTCTTTTTTTTTTTTTGTATTCTTTTCTCCTTTTAACTCCACTTTTACTTTGATTATTAATACCACTTCTTTTTTTTATGTTCTCTTATTTTTCTTTATTATCTCTTTCTTTGTTTTACGTTGATTATTAATAAAAGTAATTTTTCTTTATTCCTCTTCCTCTTGTTCTTCCTATTCTTCTTTTACATCTTCTTCTTTCTTTCTCCTATTTTATATTTATTACATGTTTAATATATTTATGTTGTTATATCGTATTGCTATTCTACATTTACTGCAAACTGTATTATATTATTTTTCTGCACTTGACACAAAATATATTGTTTATGTTAATTGTATAATAAATTGTTTGATAATTTTCTTGAATTGTTAGATGTCAGAAAAAATATTAGAAATTAATTCAAGAACTATTGAAAGTACAAGAGAAACAAAAAGAAAAAACTAATGTCAGGTGCAACAATAATTACAGTGATCATAATAATTTTATGGTATAAACAAAGAAATGAGCCAACAGACAAGAGTGATAAAGACACACAAAAAAATATACTTTTGAAGCCATTATATCATGAGAGTAATGAAAATTATTATAATCAATTACATCTTACTAACACATTATAGAATTTGATTTCAACTTAAAATTATAATTTTACATTTTAATTCTTTGAGTATGCCAAACATAGAATTATAATTTTGAACCAACTCCAATTCTGATGGAATTGGAATTAGAATTATAATTCCAAACTCCAATTCTAATTATATGCACCAAACAGGCCCTTAGATTGATTGGCTTTTAAAAGCTGGTGCACCAGTTTTTTTGAAAGTTAAGTCAATTTTTACTTTTAAAATTTTAGCTTTTTCTTTTTTCTCTTTTTTATATCATAATTTTAATTTTTATTATTTCCAATTAGTTACAAAATTAAAATAAATAAATGAAAAAATAAAAATTTAAAAAATAAATAAGAGACAAATAAAATAAAAAAGTAGGATAAAACTTGTTATTCACAACTTCTGTAATTAATTAATTCAAAATTTTTCAGATTTTCTACGTGGATGTGCCAGAGATGCATGTTTCATAATTGAAACAATATATACGACAATAACAAAATAAATAAAAAAATTGAGAGAAATTATGGAACCAATATGTATACCATTTAATTTTCTTTTGATAGCTAGGTATAATAAATCTCTAACTCTAAGCAAATATTGCTAGGAAATGGGAGCCAAATTGTTTGCTACTTTCTGCCAAGAATGTGACTTGAAAATTTATAACTTTCTTGATGCTGCAAGTGCTTTATGCTAATACAAATAAAAATATTATTTTATTTAGATGAATAATATTCCTTAGTTACTTTTTATAAGACATCTTTAACTAAATCACACAAACTAATACAAATAGATAAAATTATATATGTTTTAAAAATATTATAATATAACTATTTTACTCATTTAATATTTACCCTGTTAATTTAATTTAATTTTTTGTTAACTTAATTTATTAGAGGCAAATGATAGAAAAATAATAGTTATTCGTAAAAATTATAAAATAAAAAGTACCTCGTAGAAAGGAACAAAGTAATACTTCAGCAAATTTGGTTGGGGTTATTTGAATAAACCTCAACACAGTGGAATGTAACACACACACACACACTCCACAAATACACACACAGTAAAGCTGATAATCTCATTTTTAAATCAAGCACGGTTCTACAGACTGTATATGAATTAATAATGGTGTGATTCCCTAATGAAGTACAATTACTTTTCAATTTCATATGATGCTTGTGCATTATGGAGTCCACTACAGAATTATACATGGTCATTGAATAATGATGAGTGTGTGTGTGTGTGTTTGGAGTACTTTATTCTCTTCTCCTAATCCACCTTTGTTTAAGCTTTGCCCGTGTCCTCTATTAAGATAATTCTTCTTCAAATCTTTCATTCGCTAATCTTGTACTATTTCTGTGCAGTTTCAGGCCAATATTTTGTATAGAAGTTTAAGGCCATTCCGTCAAGAAGGAAAATGGGGGTCACTATTACAAGGGAAAAGGAAGAGAATTTCATGCTGGATTCAGAAAGAGAAAAGGAGCTCAAAGCCTTTGATGACACAAAACTTGGAGTAAAAGGACTTGTTGATGCAGGGATCACTAAGATTCCAAGTTTTTTTTATCATCCACCTGATAAATTCAAGAAGGCCTCAGATTTAGGCTATGAAGATTATATTATTCCCATTATAGACCTTGCAAATATTCATGAAGATCCTAGTGAAAGAAAAATGGTTGTTGAAATAGTTAGAGAAGCATCAGAGACATGGGGTTTCTTTCAGATTGTGAATCATGGCATCCCAATCAGTATTTTGGAGGAGATGATAAATGGGGTGCTAAGATTTTATGAGCAAGATAGTGAGATCAAGAAGGATTTTTATACTAGAGAGCTAAGACCCTTTATGTACCATAGCAATTATAATTTATATACCACAGCTGCTACTACTTGGAAGGATTCTTTCTTCTGCAACATTGCTCCTAATGCCCCTAAACCAGAAGACTTGCCAGCTGTATCCAGGTACATGATGATTCAGTTTTTGGTTTGAACTCTAGTTATTTGTCTTTCAGAGTTTATAGTAGTAACATGTTCGGTTTCACCCAAATTCCTAATTTAATAATATATTATTTACTTTCTTGTTTTATTTATAGATCCTTATTTGTAATATAATCAAGTGTACGTAGACATGTTGATTTAAGGTATTGTTTGTTTTATTATTAGAAACCAATTCTCACATATTTTAATGAAAAATACTCACTCCAGTAAAAATAATTTTTTTATAAATAAAAAATAATTTATTACCTTAAATTTTAAAGAAGTTAAATAAAATAACTTATTTTAATAGAAAAATATAAGGTATTTTTAACTCATAAATTTTTTAATTATTTTTTATATTATTTTTTCCTATAATATTTTAACCAATAACATGCAACTAAATCTTATTTTATTAGGTGAGGTTAGTTATATACATTAACAATGCTATTGAAATTAGAAAAAGATTAAATTTTTTGAGATATTTATCATTAAACCTCTTTTATTAATGTTTTTTTTAATTTTTTTGAGTCTTTTTTTTTTCCACCAAACTAAGAATCAGTTATCTATTCTTCTTACTAATATTACTATTAGCATTCTTTATACATGTCCAAATTACTTTAATTAATTTTTTATTATCATTTTTATAATAAACATTTTTGTTTATTCAATTATTTCTTATCTTATCTTTTCCAGGGTAATCATTCATTCATCTTAGCATTTGTATTTTTCTAACCTTTTTTTTTTTTAACTTTCCTTTAAAACTAAAAATTCATTACTATATAAGTACCTAATCAAATAGTAATTACAAAACTTTATTTTCAGCTTATAACATACCATGCATACTATCGTTAGTTGCATAAAATTGAAATTAGTATTACACTTGAAGGTGATACAATTAAGATGAAATATGGTGAAAAACTATAGATGCCATAATGCTTTTGTTACCCTACAGTTTACAATAGTTGTGGTTAAGCTTTCATAATGCTTGATTCTTTCCTCTCTCATAGCCTAAGGTGAAATTCTTGCTTGCTTCATTTTTTTGTAGAGACATACTACTGGAATACTCAAAAGAAGTGATGAAATTAGGGACTTTATTATTTGAGTTATTATCAGAAGCTCTTGATCTGGATCCAACCTACTTAATAGATATTGGTTGCACCGAGGGTCTTTTTGCTTTTAGCCATTACTATCCTGCTTGTCCTGAACCAGAATTAACTTTGGGAACTGCAAAACAGGCTGATATTGATTTCATTACAGTGCTTCTACAAGACCATATAGGTGGCCTCCAAGTTCTTCATCAAGACATGTGGATAGATTTACCCCCTGTACCTGGGGCACTAGTTATTAACATTGGCGATTTTTTGCAGGCATGTCTTTATCTTTCCTTTTCCTGCAAGTGAACTGAATATCAACCCTCATTGCTTGTTTAATATGTTTATTTTAACCCAAACTTCTAAAATGCACTTTTCTCTTGATAGATGCTTAACTTACATTACCTTCTCTTTTATTTTAAAAAATTATATTACACCCTTTTAGAGATTAATATACCTTATACTTTAGTCCATATAAATGTTTACTGAGCTTTCTTAGGGATATATTTTTTTTTAATGTGGAAGCAAGTTTTGAATCGCTACTACTAACTTCGAGTTTTCAGAAAATGAAAAAAACAAAAAACGTGAAGTTCCAAAGTTTACAACAAGGATATTAAAACATTATTTCATCTTTTAAAGTTCTAAAATCAATAATAAAATATTTAAAATTAGCTACATTTGAAGTTGTAGAGAGAAGAAAAATATTCGAAGATCAAGGGTCAATCATAATTGTTTACTACCATTAATTAAAAGGTTTATTTATATTAACTTGGATGAACATGTAGCATATATTGTCTCTAATTGGAGGAGGACTACATTTTTTTTTCAATTAGAGATAATGTAAGTGTATAATTGAAGAGTGAAAGATAGAAAATGATATTTATCCGTCTTATTGACAATATATATTAGTTTGCATGCTCTTTGAGAATAATTTCGTATGAGATAATGGGTCGATTGCATTAACAACTACCTTAACATTAGGGCTTACGCTAAAATGATAAGGGTAGGAATTTAAGGTTTACTCACTTTGCCGTGTGGAAGTATATATATATATATATATATATGAACACAAAGGTTACTAGTATAGTGACAACAATACTTTGCTTCTAATAATTCAGAAAAGATTTCCTTAACTTCATTACTTTGGTCTCCTTCGTATTCAAAATAATCCTTCATCAATGTGGCTAATTCATAATATTGTTGAATATCAGCTTATCTCAAATGACAAATTCAAGAGTGCTAAACACAGAGTATTGGCCAATCCTATAGGTCCAAGAGTCTCTATGGCATGCTTTTTTAGCACAGGTCTTCATCCGAATTCAAGGATTTATAGTCCCATCAAAGATCTATTATCTGAAGACAATCCAGCAAAATACAAAGAAATTTCAATTGCAGATTTTATATCTCACTATAGTAAAAATTGTATGAATGGTGATTCTCCTCTACTGCATTTCAGGATTTGACTAACAGAATGTAGGTAAGAGAGATTATGACCTCGAACCACTACCTTCCGTTTCATCTAGTACTTTTAGTATTGAATGCCTCAATCTGTGGAACTTATGCTCAGTAAATTTCTTGAGATAGTGTCAATGAAAAACTGGTGTTGAAGATCTAGCTTGGTGTTTGTTAATTGATTATGGATCTTGGATTGGATTATATAATTATTCACCGGAGTATTGGACAAATTATATCAACACTTTTGATAGTTTATATATATAATTAATTGTTGTTATTATTATCATTATTATTATACAAACTCTTAATTTATATAACACTACACCCAGTACAACTTTCTGTTAACATTAACCTACTTTGATTTATACCTCGAATCTTTCTTAATATATCAATTAGGGTGTGTCAATGTAAAGAAAAAAAAAGATATTAATGTAATTCAACATTCAACTTAAATTCAAGAAGTATCAATATAATTTATCTTTATTCAAATATATGTCCACAAACTTGCACTGAAAAAGCATACCCAGACACATAGCATTATTTGGGTTTAAAACCATGATTTATTTACTTCCTTATGAGGTACCAAGTGTATTGAAAAAAAAAATATTTTGCTTGTGCATTTCATATGCCATCGGAGCTCATGAATCGGATAAAAGAGTTGAAGCTACTGAAAATGCCAGTGTTGGCTTTACGCATGCTTATTTATTACCTATCATATCTTATGTTGAATAAATGCCTCTAAATTAGTTTCTGATAAAAAAGAAGAAGAAAGAAACAAAAAATATTTTAATTTAAAAAAATTTCACATCTTATGTTGACTGAAAATGAAAGAAAGTATTTTTAAAAAATCATATTTATAATTATTAAAAAAATTAAATGATTATTTTTTTATGAGAAAAATATATGCAGAGAATTAAGATTTATTAGTAATCATTATTAGGCACTTACACCGTTTAACAACTTTTCATAAAATATAAGTTTATCAATTCAATTATTAAATAATCTTATATTATTTTTACGATAAGTATATTAAATTTTACATAATTTAGATTTTTAAAATATATTATCTAAAATTTAATATTTATTAATATTTTAAAAGTATATTACTTATTAAAATAAAGTAATATAATTTTTTTTATTTTTAAAATATAAGTGAACATCAAATTTTAAATGTTTAAATTGCATAAAGTTTAATATACATTGTTAAAAAAAATAATATAAAATAATTTAATAATTAGATTTATTAATCTTGTATTTTATAAAAAAAAAGGTGTTTGCTATCAATGTATATAAACTTAAAACGATATTTTATACTTCAAAACCATAAAAATAACATTTTGTAAATTATAATTCCACCTTTCATAATTTATATTATTATGATATAAATAATTGTTGTCCCCTCTTACGTACTTTTATTCTAACTATAACCAAAATATACACGAACATATACAAATTATACAAATCAAGGGATTTGATAACTTACCTAACTGATATACCAAATAGAACGTTTTCTCCAACCATGAAATGTAGAAGCAAATAATGATTATTATGTTAGTGTCTTCAATGATAAATGTTAAGCCAATTTTATTGTGTTGAGATTAGAGCTTTTTAGTCTATGAAAATCATAGTGAATACAAAAGAGTTGTTGAGAGAGTTAGAAGAATCATAAAAAATTAAAGTTTTCTTTTAGACAGTGAATCATGTCATCATATGTTGAAATTGAAATGGAAGACAAAAATATTTTAAAAGATGATTTAAAAATTAAATAGAGTCACTACTAATTTTATTTAAAATAATTAAAATTGAATATATCAAAGATATTAGCATATGAGAATCATATTAAGCATGTGAGAATCAAATTAAGTTCCAAAGTTGATTTATGCATAAGAAAACGTAGTTATATAATTTCATATCACTTCTAATATATTCATTTTTAGATGAGTTATATAAAGTTAGTTGTGCAAATTTATAATAATTTTAAAAAATATTTATAATAACTATGAAAATTTGATTTTGCTTCAATGGTTTGATTTTTCTTTTATGTATTTTTGGTGTAATGAAAACTTAAAGTTACATGTTTTTCATGAGTGTAAATGATTTTGGATAAATCATAAAATTAAAAGTTGTCTTGCTTAATTAACCCTTTTAATATAAAAAAAAAAGTATTTATAAAAATATTTGGTTTGAAATAATAAAGAGATTATTAAGCTGTCACAACTTAAATATCTTTTTAACTAAATTATAGAATTAATAAATTGACCCTTTGAGTACAGAAATAATTATTTACAAAAAAAATTAAGAATCAGTAAAATGTTGAGTGTCTTTAAATAAATAATAAGATTCCTAAGATATTACTTTTAGATTAACTCTTTTTAATATAAAATTAATTATTTGCATAAAATACTCATTTTTTATTAAATTAAAAATCATCAAATTATCACCTTTTTTTTTTTTTCTATACCACATGTATTTAACATAGTTATATTTATTAAGATTAAAATTTGAGAATAATAGTTAAAACAAACTTATCCTTATTGGTTGATCCACTTGTTTTGTAGTTGATAGTAAATATTTTACTATATAAAATAAAATAAAAAAATTTAAAATTTATAAATTATGAATGAATATATAAATATCATTTGATGTAAAAAAAATATGGAACATACTAATATTTTTCAAATACTCCCAAAACGAATATTAGTGAGGGCCTTTTCTTACTCACTCAACCTTCTTCTTGATTAGAGAAGTTATTTTTTGCAATTTTTTTTACACCATTTATTTTTTTTTATAATTTTAATTAAAAAATTTGAATATTAAAATATCATCACACATCAATCCTAATTTAACGGATTGTTTGAGAAGAGAAATGAAAAGACAAGCCTTTTATTTTAAATAAATATAGTTAAGTTAATAAAATTTTAAAATTAAAGATTTAGATAATAAATTAATATCAATAAAATGTATTTATATTACTTTATTATGATAAATATTATACAATTTTATTAATTTAAGAAAGTATACATCTCACTTCTAATGCTCCCACCTAATTCAACCTATCAAAAAAGTTAAGAAACTCTTCACATCTCTTCGCTCATTCTAGTAATTTATTTTTGCCTTTTCTCTCACAAATGATATCATCACACTTGTTTTAAGTATATTTTTAACAAACTTTTGTAATTAATTAATTTATACAAAATTTAAAATAACTTTTAAGAAATAATTTACAACGTCAGTATTTATTTTTTTAAAAATAAATAAAAAGTGTGTTTAATTTTTTTTAAAGTGTGTTGTTAACAATTTTTTCTTTTACTTAATAGCAAAAATTTTAATAGTTCTGTTTCACTTAGTTAACAAAAACAAAATAAGTGAATTACCATTTTCATCTTTATTAAATTTTAAGATATCAAAATAGTTTATAAATTTAATAAAATATCATTTTAATTTTTAACATATAAAATCGTTTATTAATTTAGTTTTTATTATCACAGTTATCTCTAACAAATAAATTGATATATATTAAATGTTAGTTTAACATGTCAAGTAATATTTAGGGTTTAGGGTAACATGTATTAACTCTTATATACTTCAAAATTTGTCAATTTAGTTACTAAACATGACTTAAAATATATTAATTTGGTTTCTAAATAATCCTTAATCTAACTTGATCTCTAAAAAGAAATATGGGCATGGGCAATGCTAGGGGTTTTATGGGCCAAAAAGAAATATAATTTTGTGGAAGTAACAATCCAGCAACCACCAAAGAATTGAACTTAACTAGAAGATTGTTAGACTATGAACTCTATGAAAATGAGAAGAAAAGCGACTCTATTAATTTTTAATGGGGCTTGATGATGATGGGTTTGAGACAATGCGTGCTATATTTTGAGCATGGAATCCCTGCCTAACTTGAACCGAGCATATTCATTTGATGATCATTCGACAAAAGCAAGGATTATTGATTTAGAAAAGTGCTTCCAACTAACATTGGCAGAGGGCATGGCATTTCTTTGAAGGCCTATGCAACACAAGCTTCAAGTTGAATTTGAAGGTTTAAGCAACGAGCCATAGACTACATTGTTGAACACTCATAATGGTGGCACTAATGAAAGAATCTCGGGTGAGGATTATGAATTTTTTTGGATTATTGTCTCACAAGCTAAAGAAAAAGGTAATTAGATCTGTTCATGATATTTAGGAGCTCCTTCTGTATTTTAGATTATTTTGTAACAACTTTCTGAACACTATGAATGTATAGAGTGATCACGCAGAAGGCTCTCTACAATATTCTCAGGCTGAAGTAATCACTTTTAGTGAAAAAAGTGATCACTTTGTGTTGGTTTTTAAGATTTTGGCATGTTTGTGTTCACTATGAGTGTAGAAAGTGAACATGTGCAACTCCTTTCAGGTTATAGCTTTTTGTAGTGATCACTTTGTGTGTAGAAAGTGATAACGTCCGGCTTATATTGGTGCACGTGTTCACTCTACTTATTCAAAGGAGTCACACACAGCTCTTTTCCTGATAACATTATGCGTGTTCACTATGGGTACACAAAGTGAACACAACTTTTCTTCTGAATATAGGCTATGTCGTTCACTTTATACAAAAATAGTTAACACTTTCATTCCTACATCTAGATAAAGGCTCTATAGTGTTTCCTTTATACAGAAATAGTGAACACTTTCATTTTTCTCTACTAGATTAACTTCAAAGTTGTCACTTTATGCGCCAATAATGATCACTTTCAAAATACAATTTTGGATTCTTCACTCTTTAAGTCCAAATTTGCCTCTTTCTTCTATTTTCTTTTCTTAAATCCTTATCCTCAAGACTCTTAGCTTAGAATATCCTTCCAAACTAGTTCAATCAACAAAATTATTTTATAATTTTATTAAATTCATACAATTTGAGTTACTAAAGATAAAAGTTGACTTTATTGAACATTTATATATTTTTGTGTAGTTTTCACTTTCTAAATTACATTTTTTTTTATCAAAAACAATATAAAAAACTACTTAAAAACATAGTAAAATCTGAATTTATCAACCTACACTTTTGGAGATATAGGCTTCACCTCATCATGCATGTGGAAGATTTGCACCTCCACATGTGCCTCCTCGTGAGTCTTTACTTTCTTAGTGCTTTGATCGAGCAAACTTTTCTCTTCTGTGGAACGATTCTCAGGTTCATAGCATTCCATGCCTTTTGACTCTACTAGAGCAATGGAAAAAGAGTTGAGTTCCCTCCCTCAAAGCGTTTTGGGTCTTCACCAGCTATCAGCCTAGCTCATAATCGCCTCATAGCGACTAAAGTAAGAAACCCTAGCAGTGCCTCCCACCTCCCTTTTCTTAAAAAGGCAAAGTGAGTTCTTAAAGTCTCAAGAAACCTTAAAAATGTTTTTTTAAATTACTTTTTTAAATAATTTTAAAAGCATATTAATATATGTATTTGAATTTTTATTACTTTAAAATATTATATGAACAATAGTAATATTGAATAAAAAGTAATATATATTATATTTATAACTCAGAAATGTATATATTTTTATTTTATAACATTTAATAACTATATTATTTAATATTTAAATAAATTTTGTTAAAGGTTAAATTTAAGTATTTAAAAAGAGTTTTATTTTATTAAAAATATTTTTAGTATATTAAAATTATAAAAATATATTAAATAAAATTTATGAGATTTTCTTTTTTCATAATATATAAATATAAATATGCACTCTCCCAAAGTAATTAATGAGTAAATAATGAATTAATAGCATATTAATCGTTCATGGGCACTTTATCTGCATCACTGTCTGATCAGTTTGAGACTTTCCTTTTACTCTATTTTGTTGTGTTGTGTTCCCCCAGATTCAAATTTCGCCTTGGAATCTCTGATTTGTCTCCTTTTTCATTGTGTCTTATCTCCTTCTTCTTTGTTTGTTTGTGTGGTGTGAAGGGGGTGTCAAAGGTCTCTCCTTTGGGTTCTTTCATGATTTGTTCTGTGCATTGGGCTGAATCTGAAGATGGGTTTTCTCTGTTAGCCATTAAGGTTCTGATTATTGGTTTTTTTTGGTGGTGAAAGATGAAGGATTTCTGTGGCACACCTGGCACTTTTCTTGGGTTGGTTCTTAGGATGACACAGTTCATTTTTGCTGCTGTATCAATTGCTTCCATGGCTACCACAACCAGTTTCTTTAATTTGACTGCTTTTTGGTAATTAGTAGTCAATTAAGTAAAGATTTTGATTTTGCTTTTTGTTGTTCTGAAACTTCATCCTCCATTAATTTTTTTTGGTGTGATTTTCATCAGGGCGTGTTGGTATTGTTACAACTCATTAGTCTTTTAACAAACTTTATCCAATTGTTTGAGATTGATACAACTTCATATCCGGATGTGCATGCATGTCATTTGAATTAGACTTTTCAAACATGTTTATAACTTTTGTAGCAACAATATTTACTTTTGACTATTGCATGAAACTATTTTTAGCCAACCACACCATGGTTTTATAATATGCCTTAGCATTTTCCCTTGTTAGATTCAATGCCTAGACTAGATGCTCTCGGTGTCTGGCCAACGAAGTACTAATTGATTTTTCATTCTTTATTAATTACTCACTTTGCCTATATGCAAAATTCTGATTGCGCATTTGGTATTCAAACTATTCAATTCCAAATGATTATGAAGCCAACAAGGTGTACCTTAAGATTTTTCTTTACATTCTGAAGAAAAAATGCTTTACCACTAAATAATTAGGTGTATTAGGTGTTTATGTTGTAACAGATTACACATTATATGTGTGGTTGGTATCTAGATTGGGATTACTTTGAGTTGAATGTGTTCAGAATTTAGATGATAATCCCCTCTAATTTTTCTTTTTTGTCCAGTCCCTATAAAATGGCAATGAATTTTACTTTTAGATCATATGTCGAATTCATGATTCTATCATTTAAAGTTTTTCATAATGACTGCATGCTTGGATACTAGAACTGAGGAAACAAACAGAAAGTTTCTCTATGTGCTTTTGCTCTTCATGAAAGGGTATTTGATCTAACTGTATAATACTGAATATTCTGACTACAACCAGGTATGAAACTAGGCTTGTAGTCAAGATGAAGAAGGGGTCTGCAAACTATTGAGGTTCTCAGTAATAGCATGTTTGGATTTGTGTTCAAAACTCTGGTTCCATGTTTACTTCAACTCAACTAGTTGTAACTTTTAAGTTGGATTCATGTTTACTGTATTTTCAACGTGTTTTGTTACACTAAAACCTCATTTGAGTGTGACTGTGATATACCACCTGACTGTCAACTTTATTGTTTTCTATGCAAATCAAAGTTCTTGCTTTTTACCTCACAGGAATGAAAACATGTTTCTCATGAAATGTTTTGTTCACCAATGCTTCAATAGCAATGCTCGGGACGGGGGAATAACATAAAACTGATTGTTCTGTTGGTATATCGCAGCTACTTGATAGCTTCAATGGGTTTACAAATCATTTGGAGTTCTGCGCTTGCTTTATTAGATGCATATGCTTTGGTGAGAAAGAAGGTCCTCCTCAACCCTGTACTAATTAGCCTCTTTGTAGTTGGAGATTGGGTTAGTCTCTAAGTAAATCTTTTTACTCTTCCTAACATCTTAATTAGTTTGTTACATAAAGTAGGACTTGTTTATTTATGATGTTTATCAAATTATCATCTATTTAACAAATTTACTTCTTGACCACTGTGCTCATTCTTCAGGTAACAGCAACACTATCTCTAGCAGCAGCTTCTGCCTCAGCTGGCATTACGGTTTTGTACTTCAATGACATGGGACACTGCCACTTTGGAGAGGAGTGCCAAAAGTACCAGATTTCTGTTGCATTTGCCTTCATGAGTTGGATTTCAATTTCAATATCATCTCTAATTATGCTTTGGCTATTAGCTGCAGGGTAACAGATTTTGTATTCAATCCAAATTTCTCATCCAATCAAAGTTCATCTTATTGACAATTTTCTTTTCAAAGTGTTAATAATAGGAAAGGAAGTAGAGTAGATCTTTACTCTGAAATTTAATTGGGATCAGATTGTAAAGGGGAAGGAAAAATGTATATGTGATTTTTCCTTGCAAAGATGTAAACCTGTATGTTTACATGAAATTGGGCTGTTAATACTAATAGCTGTTTTTGTTAGATTATACTTTCTTTTTCCTGACATGTGTCTATTAAATACTTGAAAGGCTTATGTAGTTAAGTTTGTGCCCATTCTCATTTCTGTTGATATAATGAGTCTCATTTGTGACATTGTAATTTCTAATAAATTTCAACTAACAATAGTGAGTGTGTTAGAAACAATATATTAAAGGTGTGTTGCTATAACTCTTCTCTTTTTCTTTATATTATGAACACAGCCATTGTTCTCATCTTTATACAGAACTATTCTTATTTTGATAACAGTATGTAAATAATTAGATAGCAACAACCTTTAATAGTTTTAAACAAAATCTTATTAGAACATCGTTGAAAAGAGAGACAGCGATATCAGTTCGGAAATTTGTCATTGCTTGAAGAAATTGATTGAGGGAGTGAAGGTGACAGATTGTTTTATTTGGCGTGACTAATTACATAAAACACTATTGAATAAATACATACATACTTTATCTTATTTTATTCATAAATCTACTAGTTATATGTCACTTTTTTTGTATTTCATTGCAAAAATATTCTATAAACTAACGGTTTAGTGTTAAACTAGACTTTGTCAATATAACTTTTAATTAACTAAAAAATTAAATTGTTAATGTAAATATTATGGACTCGTACTAACAGTATGATACATCATACTAACAAATAATTTTACTAATATATAGTATTGTTAGACGAAGGTTATACAATACAGATAATCTTAACAATCATCGTTATGTATTAGTAAATGGCAAGTATTTTTTAAATTCTAAACATGGAGTTATTTTTTCTTTTCATTAACTGAAGCATTTGACTCAATTATTGAATAATTCATTAGTTTTATTCAAGTAAAGATTGTTTTTTAGAATTTAATTAAAATGTACTAACATTGTAAAAAAAATGTTTATGTTATCATTCAATCATATACTGTTATTTAGTTAAATGTTATTAACCTTCGCAATAATAACTTAAAAGTTTTTCTTACGATAATTGTTAATTGGTTGTTAGGTGTATTATTTTACACCAATGTGATATATTGTGTACTTTTATAAATATGTAAATAGAAATGACATGATAACTAAATGACTACAGACAGGTTCGTTGTTTTAGGCTATACACCTTTTTCATTTGGGGGGAGGGAGATTAGGGTATACACTATGAAATATTGGATTAAATATGCATACCGTTTGAATAGCATTAACTTTTAAGAATTTATATAAAAATTTCATGAAAATATTTATTATATCAAAATATAAAAAAATACCAAATGTTTTTCCAACAATCTTTAACAAAACCTTAAATTTGAACATTACTTGACAATAATAATTAAGTTTAATATGCCCAAGTCACATAAGCATTTAAATTATATTAATTTTCTGTGGCTCGTAGTTTCTGGCTTACCATATAGAAGAATGGAAAGTAATAAAGGCATACAATCTAAAAATACTTCAAAGTAAAGTTCAAGCACTACACAAAAAGCATAGGGAATGAACATTGACGACCCAAAATAAATTATTTGGTTTAAAAGCCAATGGTTTGACAGTTTGCTAATTCAGATTACCTTAATTTGTGGCTGTGGGAACATCAAGCATTAAGTGGTGATACAGAAGTTACGCTTAAAAGAAAAAGATTATCTTTTTTACGTGAGATTTTTTCATGATAATATCTTATCAAATTTTGTAAGAATCTATAAAAGGGATAGAGAATTTTTATATAATAAAATAGTGGTAAATTTTCATTTGAGAAATATCCATTTTAGCGTTTGAAGAATCACCTCCAAATCATGAATAAATCATTATTTCTTGATTTGAAATTATGCAACATTGTGGAATCGAGGGAAGCAAGCATCATATCAACGACAGTAAGATAATTGATGGTCGACCCCTCAAAAAGTAAGATGATTGATAGATACTTTAAACCAGCCATTGAATGATTTACTCTAATATTAAAAGTTAAGGCATTCAACAAAAAAAGCAAGGGGAAAGTAGTGCAAGTAACCTTCTTGGTCAGTGATAGGCCCAAGTGGTTGTTAGTGGAGTCACGTAATATAATAACACTGCGACATCTTTAATTTAAACAGTATATAATTTTAGTCTCTTGTGTTTTTTGAGTCAATTGAGTTTGCCTTTTAAAAAAAATAAAATTTAGTCATACTGTCAATTTTTTTCTACTTGAAACTCTTAAAATTGTTTATTTTATTCAAATAATTAGAAATTCATGATGAATTTAAGATGTAAAATAATTTTAAAATTTTAAATTCAGTAAAAGATTGATAAAATTTGAAGAATTTAAGTAGGAAGGAAGATTATAATTTAAAAATGAAGAAACTTTTTATTTTGTTTTATTTTATTTGTATACCTTTTAACTTTTTTTTTATTAACAATTATCACAATCTATTTATTTATAATATATAAACGCTAAAGCGAGAATTGTGGTGTCACAAGATCAATTTTTACTTTTTATTTTACATCACTTTTGTTAATGTGACTTTAATTCAATTTCTGTTTGTTATTAGCATGATTTCTTCTACTTTATAAGATTTATCAAGTTAACGAGGGAGCAGGAGGTTAGGTATAAAATGTTCATTCGACATCAGTTACTCAAAATAATGAATCCTTGTATCATGTGGCAAACCCCTTTGAAGCATGCTAGGCATTCCAATCTCCCAATTTTTATTACGTGAAAAATCTCTATTCTTAAGGAAGATCGCACTAGAAAAACAACAACAAACGACATGTAAAGGTTAATTTGGTGTAAATGTATTCGATGGTTATGAAGAATGAAATGTTGTTTACTCTTAAAGCTTTTAAAAGATTTTATAAATGCTTAATTTAGTACTTCAATTTTTAATTTCATAATTTTAATCCTCTTATTTTCTTAATTTAGTAAACATCGTCGTTCCATTATGTTTTATGCAATTTTTAACGGGAATAATATGGTCTACTTCTTCCTCTTCTCTTCCTATTCAGAATTCACTATTGCTGATGAAGCTCCATTATTGCCGTCACCGCATCTCTCTCTTTTGTGACTTCTCCAACCTCCATTCTCCATTGCCCCACTCTTCTTCTTCATGATTGCCTTTGTTTTCTCTTACTTTGCCTCCACTTGTCCCTCTTTCTCAACCACCAGCACCATTCCCTTGTTGCACTCCAACGCCTCCTCCTCTGTGATGCCCATTGGCGCTCCCTGTACAACTTTAACTAAGGAGAGAGAGAGAGAGAGAGAGAGAGAGAGAGAGAGAGAGAGAGAAGACATAGAAGAAAGAGCATCTAAAGAGCAGAGGAAGGTGGTTCAAGAGGTGACAAAAAAGGAGATGCAACAAAAGTGGCGGAAGAGAAGAGGGAGATGCAGTGGTGGTAAGGGAAGATGCTTTACCTTCAAAGTTTGCATCTTTAAAAAAGAAGAGGAAGAAGGGGTGGGTAGAGATAACATAGGAGAGAACAAAAATTGATGTGAAGAAGTGGAATGAGATAAGTAACGGAAGAAGGGACAACAGAAATAATGACAAATTCTGACACGGAAGAAAAGAGGAAGAATAAGATCATGAATAAGATCATACTATTCTAACTAAAATTGAAAGTCAACTTATAGGATAGACAAAATTTGTTGAATTAAGAAAATAGAGAAAATAAAATTGCACAATTAAGAATTGAAAGACTAAAAGCAAACAAACATAAGACTAAAAATGCAATTAAGCCTTTTATAAAATGTAGAATGAAATTCATTTAACTATCTTTTATTTATTTAACTTATAGCTTATTTCATAATATTTACCATTTGAAAAGGTACGACATAAACAAGGTTTTTGTAATCTATATTTTATGATATGATTTAATGATAAGAAACAATCTTGACAAATACCATGCGAGGACCTTAGATTATAACAATTCCCTTTTACAAAATTTCATATGACAAACGAGCTAATATGAAGGAAATGAAGAACGGGGAGATTTGAAATGCACATCAATAGAGTTTTAATGTCATTGCCATCAAAGATTACTTGTAAGCCTATTTTAGTGCATTTTACAATCTTAAACCAAAAAAAAAAAATCGAAGCAATGGCAATATTTACATGTCAATGCTTCGACAATGTTGGCAAATGATGAATGTAAAATCAACAATAGAAGCATCTATGCAGCAGGAGGCCTGAGCTCATGATCAAGGGATGTATCTCTGGCAGATGGGGGAAGATATTGCCACATTGGGACATAGCCATAGTTTGGATAAACAGCCATCTTGCTCACCCCTGCTTGATATGCAGCTACAGGAGGAGCCATAAACCCTGCAGGTGGAATGGGCAAAGCTTTCAACTGCTTCTCAATTCTCTCTTTATCTGCTTTCAAAACAAGTTTCTCTTCACGGAGTTCATTTTTCTCTGCCTGTTGCAGAAAAACGAATGTATAATGTTAGACTCAAAACACTCAAGTAATCAAAGCCATTGTTGAAGTATCTAACACATGTACAATACCGATGCATTTTCTCTGGACATGTTAGCCAAATGACTCAAAGAACCTACTTTTAACCAAATTTCAAGAGAGGAGAGAGAAAATGGGCTTTTAGAGAACAACTTATTGACAGGATTACTTGAGAAGAGAGAGATTTTTTTTTTAATTTTAAAAAAATTAATTTTACTAAAAATATCCCTTGCATAAATTAAATATAAATTATTTTTTTATCAAAATATTTCGGTGCATTTGCTAACATGCTCATAAAATTTAGTTTTGATTTTGTTAGAAAAACCCATCATAATATAAGAAGGCTACAGGATTGCTGATAGCACACACTTGCATTCATGCAATTTGTAGTCGTCAATATATATATTAACTCTCATCAAGGTCTAATCAATCATTGTGGATCATGATTCCAGGTGTGAGCCATGTTAGATAGGCCTACAAGCCAATTCTACAATTTTACTTCCTTGAGAAGACAATTATAGTGTGAAATAACGGTCTATAAGAGAGGTATAGATAGACAAAGAGAATATATATAAAGGCTATCGCTCGAAGCATAAATTGGTTCTAACTCTTGTCTATATTCATTCTATGTTATGCATATTGCACAGTCAATTAGTGATCAATATACAACAACTATCATCTTAAATCATCAGACTTAATAATTTAATAATATGATATAGCTTTCAATTCAAGAGTTTCAAGCCCTATGTGGTATTTCTTCAATGAAGCAAGAAAATATTTTGAATTTACATCTTAACATGCGAGATGAAAAACATTTCTAAAATGTCGAAGAGTCACTGTCAGTCTGTCACTAACCAACTTATTTGCAAACTTGGTTTAGGCATGTTAGCATGCATATAATGGCACAATATGCAAAATTGATAAGAACTGAGAACAAAAGTTGCATAACAAGGGGCTAATGGGAAGCAAATGTCAGGACAGAGTAAGGGTCGTTAAACAAACTGACATAAGAATTAAATTAAATATACAATTCAATACAATACATTACAACAAATTAATTAGAAATAAATTTATGCCTGAGATAGGATTTGGTGAAATAACAGAAAACTATGTTGAAGTAATAAATAAACCATGTTCTTAGCTAGAAGTTGAAAAACTAAAGTCTGACTGTACGGTAGAATGCACAGCATCCACAAGCAATGCAACATAAATCCATCACCTTTGGTCCAAGGAAAAAAACAACCCAAATAATCTGATTCCAAGTGTTTTTTCCAAAGGAATAAAATAAAAGACAAATCAGAAAGAGCTAAATGTAACAAGACCCCCTCTGATAATAAAATAAGTCTTGAATGTTTACAGCAATACATTTCTCATTAATTTTATCAATTCATAATAGCTGTTTAATTGGACGATTACTAATCACTATTTACATAGTTAATGCTTTATTGATGTGCATTCTGACATAAACTGTATGCGTTTTAAATCATATCATATAGCAGTTCAAAACAATGAACCACTGGAGTAAAAATGAAGCTTGAAGTCCTCTAAGGTTTAAGCCTTCTTAATCAGCAAGAATTAAAAAGAAAAAATGATAAAATGCAATCATTTCAAGATGAAGATTCTAGCAGTCACGCGAAAATACTAATCATTTTCTTTTCCTAGACCATTCAATGATAGTTCAAGAATGAAGCAGGTAGAGAAATGATTGAGTACCAGATAAAAAATTGACAGAAATTACAAACAATACAGCAATACACTTGCTATACCAGAGACAAAAGTTTCCCACAGTTAATATTCTCTGTTCACTTCATAACAACACCTTTGGCCCAATTACACACCCTACTATCGGTATCATATATAAATTAATACATAACTTCCAGCAGTTATTTTCTACGAATAAATGTCATCAAGGCAGTTACTAATTCTAAAACAGAACTGCTAAAGCAGGATAAGTTAATTTCAATTACATATTCTAATAATACATGCTGCTCATGACAGTCATTATCTCTTCCCATCAAGAAGCAATGTTTTAGAGAACACAAATCCAAGGAGTAGAAAGTAAGAGAAATGAAATATCCAACTTGCTACTATAAAGGGTTGAAAGTTGACACAACACTTACCTTTAAACATTTTATTTCCTCTAATAACTTTTCATTTGTTTCTTTCAGTTCCTGAGCTTCAGTTTTAAGTTGGCTCAAGACTCTGATCGCATCATCTAGTATAGCTGGTTTATCTGTTCTCACAGGTCTCCCAGGTTCCAAAACAGAGCTCAAGTCACAGAACCTGCAATAATAGGAACCAATTTCTTCCCTTCAATCATTTTAGGCATAATAATAGAAAGTTATCAAATCAAAGAAATGATAAAATTAGCAAATCATGAAAGTCGGGATCATCTTGTTCTCAGAAAATTCATATTCCCATCCTTTGAGGGAGATAAAATACCTACTATTGTTAGGATTCTATTCCTAAAAATAATTTTGGACGACAGATTTGAAATTTCATACTTCAATATACCAAACATATGCATCTAACATGACAGTGTGAAATACAACCTAAAAGTGTGAAGCAACAAGAAAAAGAAATTAATAGGCTGACTGTTGGGTCTAAGCCAATTGGACCCCCATTAAAGACTTATCAAAGGAAGAGGGGTAGAATGGGAAGAATGAGCCAGGAGGCCATTATGCTAGATTCTAACAATCTAACAAATTAGCTTACGTGGCAAAGGGGACAGGGCAGGGAGAGAGGGGGATTATATAGAGGTTGAACACTTGGCAAAAGGGAGGAAGGGGGAAAGATATGGGGGAGGTCATTGGCGGTAGCTGAGGCTATAGGAGGGATTGCTCTTGCTTATTATTAGCTTGTTAGATTGCTGTACTCATGTTCCTTTATTCTGTTGGTTCCATTTTTACTGCTTGTAATCTCAGGGAATTTCCCTGTGTCGGTTCTGTTATTCCTATACAATCTCAGTTCCTATCACAGACTAATACATTTCTTATACAACAGCTACATAAAAAGCTATAAACCAGCTCGTTACTCTAACATCAAAACATAAACTTAATATTAGAAACACACATACCTTTCATTGAGTCTCTCCCTCCGCAATTTCTCTCGGCAAGCTTTTGTTCCTGCCTTGCAGCATGAATCGGTGCGTCCCCTACAAATGATTCTCAGGAATTTATCACAAAAACAAAACCATAACATGATTCAAAAGACTACATCATTACTCCTATATAAAAACAAAATAAAAAGGTAAACCAACCCATCTGTTAGGTATATACTGCAACTGAATAAGATGCCTGAGACTCTTTACAGATTCATGATTCGAAGCTCAGATTTTTCTAGCCAATGAATGTGATTAAACTAAGAGAGAGATTATGTAGAGTCAAAAAATATTTCCACGAATTTTCTAAGACAGTAATTACTAACTTCATTCACACATTCCCCGAAGGTCCATAAGTAACAGACGAGATACCTCTTCCTGGTGTTCTCTTGACAAGAAGTAGCACCACCTGGAATGTCAATTTCCGTTCCCACACTTGCAAATACAAGGGAAAAAAAATTTGCTTCAGCCACGTTTGTCACACTAACCAGTGACCACACAAAACATAACCAACAACATTGATCAACAGCACCAATAGCTCTCTCAAAAAAGAAAAAGAATTCAATATCTTACAATTGCCAGAACAAAAGCAACAACAAAGTTCACAACAATAACTAAAACGAATGATCTTGAACTGCCCCCCATCTCCCCACAAAAAAAAAAGTAAAATTATCGATTACAATAACAAAAGGGTAGTGGCCAAAACGGTACAAAAATGAAAAATATTCATTTTAATTTTTCCCTCTACACTAGCATCCGGAGCTAACGAGCATTCGAATTGAATTTTTCAAAAAAAAATAAAATTAGTAATTACTTATTTATTTTTTGTGACATAAATAAGAAAGTGAACAACACTAGCACACAAGGAACCATCAATCAATCATATGGATTACCATAACAAAAGAGTGTTACTATGTTTCACCATATCACCAAATCAATAACGTAAAGATCAACAATGATTCCAAACAGAAAAAAAAAAAAACCTGCAATCATGAAAGAAATAATAATAATAATAATTAAAAACAAAAAAGGAGAAACCTGTGATTGGGCCAAAGGAAATCGGGGGGCGCGGGGGGAGTGTGATCAATGAAAGAGTAATCGAGAAAATCCCAACAGCCACTGTCTTCTAAGGAATCCATTTGCGATTTCCCCTTCTTTAACCAAACCGCCTTCCCTACCTATCTTCTTCTCTGTGTCTCCCAATTTCAACCTTCAAACATTGCGTACGCAAATAATGATAACAATAGGAGAGTATCGGATCCATATATTAATTATTTATTTAATTATGTCGTAAATTTATCATATTTTAATAAGTTATATTAATAAATTATCGATTTTATTAACATTGATTCACTGATTTTACAAATATTAAAATAATTTTTAAATTCTTTTTTAACATATGCTTAAGATTATATATTTAAAAATATTGAATATAATTTATAAAATATTCTAAATTACAAATTTTCTTACATGTGCAGCAAAACATATGTTAAGAAATAAAAAAATAGTAATTTTTTACTTAAAAATGATAACATTCAAACATTTAATGTGATTCTGTTATTTTTCATTATTTTAAAAAAAAATATTATATATAAATTTTGTTGTATATTTTTAATACACTTTAAAACTAAATATGAATAAATATTTTTCACTTTTTTATTTAAATATTGTAAATTTACAACAATTTTTTAATTTATTTTTTAAAAATTATTTTTTTTATAGTTTTGTCAGAATTGTTGGTGAAAATGTTGAAATTTTATTTTATTTTTAAAATAAATTTTGTTATCAAAATCGTGACATGTGTTAGCATCAATATAATTTCATAATATGATTGGCAGAATTAAGAGCTAGTTTTGCAATGAAAAGTGTGAAATTTTCAAATTGTAACACATGTCATGATTTAAATGAGTTTTGCCATGAAAATTATACAATTTGCAAAAAGCTGACACGTGATATAATTTTGGCTCATTGCGTAAATATTATAGTAAAACTTTTACATTATATATCTCTTCACTCGCTCATACTATATATATATCATCACTGTACCTTTCATCTTCATTAAAAAAAACAAGTTTAATGTGTTATCGTGTTAGTTTTAGTTAATTTATTTTATATATAATGTGAGCGGGTGAGGAAATATATAGTGTAAAAGTTTTGCCATATTATTTATATATCAGACCAAAATTGTACTCCGTGGAAGGTCCTGCAAATTGTGTAATTTTCATAACAAAACTCACTCAGATCGTGATACATGTCACCAACTTATTGTGTAATTTTCATATGAGAGTTTCACCTTGACCATGGTGAAATTGACTCTTAATTTTGCTAATCATAATATGAAATTATACTAATACTGACACGTGTCACAATTTGATTATTTCGTGCTTCTGGTGGCAAAATTTGTTTGAAAAAAAATAAAAATTCAACATTTTTGTTTATAATTTTGACAAAACTATTGCTACGTGGACTAACTCACCCTAGACATAGAAATAGTTTTAAATAATCAATAAATTAAGAATTTATTTTTAAATTTGTAATATTTAAATATAAAAGTCAATTTTTTTTATATGAACTAATTACACAATAAAAATATTATAAAAAATTATTCAAGTTCAAATAAACTCTTTTTAGATATAAATTTTGTCAATTTTTAATTTCTAAGCCTTTGTCTTTTTTTTTTAGAATGGATGGAAAGTGAAAAAAAAAGTTTATATTGATGAAAAAAATAGAAGAAAGGAAAAGTTTAAATTTTTGTTTTTAAAATCAAACTTCATTTTTTTTTCTCACCTTTTCGTTAATCAAACAAAAAAAATTATTATTTATATTTCGTATTCTTTTTCTTTCATTAAAAAACATAAACATTAAAGTTAATATTTTTTATAAACTATATTAATAAGTATAAAATAAAATTAAAAAATTTATGTGAATTATAAAATATTTTTATAAATTACTATTAATAATTTGTATAAAGAATGACAAACACATTAATGTCCCAAACTGCCTTTTAACTGTTTTACTATATCTTTTTTTATTTATATACCTCGTACAAATTCAAAATCAACTCTATTATATATCATGTTTCAAAATAAGTTTTCACAAACAATATTGTTATTTCATTTTAATTTTTATTTTATTATACATGATGTGATCAATTAATATCATATGTTAATTTTGTAAAATTAAACTTTTAACAATATTTTCTATAAAAATATCAATGAATCTTTAAACTAATTAATATTATATCAATTTTAGATAATATAATTATTTATAAATATGTAATTTAATATTAATATTTAGTTATACTTCAAATAATATATTATATATTTAAATAAAAATAAAATACTATTAGTTATTCTTTAAATTGGTAAAATGAAAATAAGATATTTTTTTGTAAATAAAAATAAAATAAAATAATAAAAAAATTCAAACTCCTTATTTTTAAAAAATCAATTGAGATATAATTAAAGCAAAAATATTCATAAGAGAGATTTAGGGCAGCATTTCAATTCTTTTTTTAATTCAATATTGAACACTAAAAGCAACAAAAAAATAATAGTTAAAAGGGTCAATGTTTAGAAAGAAAAAAAGTTAGCAAAAGTCAAGAAATGATATTATTTGTTAGAAGTGTGACAAAAGATGTCACTTTAGTAAACAATATAAAGCTCCAATGGAAAAGAAAAATCATAAAAAAATACAAGACAATGATAAATCTCCACATGCAACAATAAATGAAATTGTATATTCATTAATTTGTAGCCTAGATAGTCTTGTTGATTTAATGGATTATGAACTTAAGTATGTCATTCTACATTACACCTTTTAGAGAGATATTTTTTAACTATGCACCTCCGAAGGTAACATTGATATCAAAACACTTAGTGAAACTTTATGAACATAACACAAACAATGTTAGACATATTCATGTCCTTAAGAAAATTGTATATCTATAGGCTAATTAAATAATGAGGAGCACTTCTCTATTTTTGGAGATGAAACTTGAAAGATAACAAAATGAAACCTTATTATAGTTTGACGAAAGAAGTAAAGGTCAGTTCATGGTTTATATGAACATTATATTTTTGGAAAAGTAAAAAAAAAAAATGTTTGTTTTTCAAAGTTTCTTAACATCAAAGTTGAAAGGTTAGAATTAATGCATACAACCATTTAGGAACTAATTCTCTGATACATTCCTTGAAGGCTCACACTATTATATCACTTTTAATAATGTCTTCATAAGAAAAGCATGATATATTTTCTTATAAAAAATTTGATGTGTACTTTGTGTTTAAAAGGTGAAAAATAGAAATTAAAAATTTGACAAGTTTAATGTTTAAAAGTTAAGAGTATGACAACAAAGAGAATGATAAATAGAAGTTTAAGGACTTTTGTTCAAAAAAATAGGAAGAGAATAAACAAGATAATACTAGGGACACTTGAGTAAAATGGTCTCATATAAAGGATGAATAGAATATTAAATGAAAATGTTAGAAATATATAGATTTATTTAACTAGCCTGAAATATTTTGAGAAAATACAATAAATATATCAATTTATTAAATGCTTGAAAAAGTATGGTTAGGAAAGGATGTAAGTCCATCACATTTGAGTTTTCTATTGCGTTTCATGTATTATCATAAACTTTGATAGTAGAGAAAAATTATACCCTTAGGCTAATTTTTTTTATTAGTTATAGATCTAACATGTAGGAATAATTTGATAGTACAAAAAAAAAAAAAAAAAGGCAAGACTTGTGGTTTCAGTCAAAATAAGGAATCAACTTCGTTAATTTTTTTTTCTACTATAAAAGTTGTCTTGAGAGAATTTTCACTTAGAATAATTAGATGTTAAAATTGCATTTTTACACAGGGATTTAGAGTAAGACATTTATATGACACAATTTGAAGGCTTTGAAATTTGAGGTAAGGAGAATCTAGTCTAGTATCCAAGCTTCACCAAAGTTTGTAAGGCTTGATATAAGTTCCAAGATAGTAGTACAAAAATATTTTAATGATTATATGAGAAACCCTAGATTCAATAAATGCAACATGCACAATTACTTCTATGTTAAGAAGTTTATTGATAGTTATAGTATTCTCACTTTATATGTTGATGACATATTGATTGGAGGATTCAACATGACTAAAATTAACAGATTGAATTAACAGTTAGTAGTAAATTTAGAAATGAAAAATATTATTAGCTAAACAATCCTTGGTAAAAGAATTTTTAGAAATAGATAAGAAGGAATTTTAAAGTTGTCTCAAGTGAAACACATAGATCATTGCTTAATATTAGAGACATCAAGACTAACAATACTTCTTTGGAAACTCATTTAAAATTTTCAAAGAAACAATATTCATATCGTAGATAGAAAAAAAGAAATTCACATGTATTTTATATTAGTAGTAGAAAGTTTAATATATGTTTTCATGTGTAATTGACCTAACATAGGACGTTGAATGAGAGTTGTCAACAAGTTCCTATAATATCCTAAAATGGAGAATTGAGAAGACATGAAATGAATATCACTACATCAGAAGCGTGAGATACTATTGATATCCCATGAATTTCTAGTAGTTTATTGATATATTTGAAAGGTACTTAATAAATGTGTTTGTGTTTTAAAAGAAATGAGATACTTTAGAAGAGTTTTCTAATGCATATTTAGGAGAAGATTTAAAAAGTTAAAAAAACTTTGAATGATATGATGTTACTATGAGTTAGAAATATATTCTTCAAAGTAATGTTTTTTCTACAACTAAATTTGAATATATAATCAAATAAAAAAATAACTAAGGAGATAAGGTGATTGGAAGTTTTTTCTTTTTAAATAGTCAATAAAAAGAATAAGATAATTCTTCATTGCTTAGTGATAGTTAAAGTACTATCTAACTTATTAAAAATTTAGTATTCTATTTTAGATGCAGATATTTAATTAAAGTGTCATTTAATAATGAAATTGATAAAATGGTGAAGATTTTAAGATTAGAGAATCTAGTTGATATGTTAATTATGATTGTTGTAATTAATAAATTGATGTTTTATATTACATTAATTAATTTTTAAAAATAATTGATAATAAAAGTTTTACACTATATAAAAAGAGAAGAAAAGCTCATTGTTTGTAAGATATTATTGTAATTAAAAACTAGTCTTAAAATAGAAGTATTGTTAGAATTGTATAGTTTGATTAATTTACATCTATTGTTTTTAAAGGACTTTTTGTTTCTTATTACTATATATGT